AAGGATGTTGTGAAATTTGAAAAGGTTCAGAAAAGATTTACAAGGATGTTGCCAGAGTTGGAGGATTTCACCTAATGGGAGAGACCGACTCGGCTGGGGCTATTTTCCCTGAAGTGTTGGAGGATGAGGGGTAACCTTATAGGGGTTTATAAAATCATGAGGGGCAAGGATAGGGTGAATAGACAAGGTCTTTTCCCCAGGGTTGGGGAGTCCAAAACCACAGGGCATAGGTTGAAGGTGAAAGAGGAACCTAAGGGGCAAATTTTTTCCATGCAGAGGGTGGTGTGTGTATGGAATGAGCTGCCAGACAAAGTGGTGGAGCCTGGGATGATTACAACATTTAAAAGGCATCTGGATCTGTATATGATAGGAAGGGTTTAGAGGGATATAGGCCAAATCCTAGCAAATGGCACTTGATTTATATAGGATATCTGGTTGGCAACGACTAGTTGGATGGATGGGTCTGTTTCTATGCGGAATATCTTTATGACTCTAATTCTAAAAAGGAACTATTTATTTTGTTTGCACATAAAATTATCCCAATGTAAACACAAATTCATTACTTGTCAGGGTTTTTCTCTCACAATGTCCTTTAAAAGAAATCACCACGGCTGCAGAAATGTTATAAGTTAATCATTAGTTAACCCCTTTAAACACATAGCCCAAATGCCATTGGTTCCATTTCAAAAATAAATAAGTAAATATACGTCAATCACACGACTAATATCATAATATGGAACCACTTGGCTTCTGGCTTTGTTGTCTAAATGGCCCTCTGCAAAGGGAGTTATGATTACCCATTCAAACATAGAACATTTTTCTTCACAGATTCTGTTTAGTGGCTCATTTATGTTTTACCATAAAAATGATTACTTTTATTCCATAATTCATTTTCAAAGCAATAAATTTAAAATGTCAAAAACGATACCTCTCTTATTTCATGTCCTGCCCCTCTGTACGATTGTAGATCATTCAGGATTCCTTCTGCATCCTTTAACACTACATTCACCTGATTAAATATTTCTCTTTCAGCTTCCGTGGGCTGTGCGTCTGAACAGTAGTGCATAAGTATTCAGTACAAACAAAATTCAACATAGTATTTCAATAAACAAAGCTAATTAACGAACCTTAGGCAGACATGAATAATATGTTAATTTAGAAGTTAAGGTCACATAAAAATTTTACATTTCACTTTTGAGCACTTAAAGTTTTTGTTTTCTCAGCTGGAAGTTTGTCAAATTTCAAAGTAGTACTTTCTAAAAAAAAAATTGCAAAATCTAGTCCTTGAATTTTTATGATTGCAAATATTTAAGGGGGGAGTTTAGACATCAGATTTTATGGTATTTAAAACCAAAATTGATATTTAGTTCTAGATTCAGCTTCTCAAGAAATTATCCCACATTGTTCTCCATTCCATAAATTTAACTCTTAATAAAAATTAGAGACATAACATTGCATGAAAACTGTCAGCAGAAAACAGCAAGGTATAAAAGGTTAATATATGCCATTTGATTTTGAACTATATTTTTGTTTACAGTTGTAACAATTTATAAATATATAGAACATTTATCACACTAAAGCATAGCGCTGAACAGACGCTTGAACATGATACAAACAAAATTTGTCACTGAGTCACAGGAGTGGATATTAAGGCTAATGACTAAAATCATGGCCAAAGAGTGCTTTAAAGGAGAAAAGTGAGATTGAGACAGAAAGATCTAGGAAGCCAGAACTTAGGTTTTAGGAAGCTGAAGGCACAGTTGCCCATGGTGTAATGACTACAATCGGAGATGCACAAAGTAGAGAACTGGAAGAGCATCCATCTCAAAGGGTTGTTGAACTGAAATCACGCAGATAGGAAAGGATTTGAAAACAAGGATAAAAAGTTTTAAAACTAACGTGTTGCTTAACCAGGGGTCAGCAAACAGCACTGGAACAATCAATTCTAGATGTAATAAAGATACAAAATAAAAATATCAGCAATATCAGCAGAGCTGAGGCAGAAGTAAATTCAAGTGATGTTATGGAAATAAAATAGGCGGTCTTAATGATAGACTAGAGATACACCTCAAAAGGTTTGCAGTCTGAGTCAGACTCAGTCACCAGGAACACTAATGGACTCAATGCCTAGGGACAGTGTTTGCCACAGGAATCTAAGACAGTGGCTTAAATCTTCCTCACTTTCTTTGGAGGAAGTCTGTAGTGATCAAGCACTGAATCTCAATGAAGATATCAAAAGTGTGATGGTGGTGAGGTAAAGATGTAAAGATTCCATGTATCTGCGAAGATGGAGACACTGTTTTCAGGTGATGTTACTGCACAGCAGCACATGAAGACGCGTGACAGAACCAGGGATAAATACATCGGGAACACCTGAGCTAATAGAGTTTGAGCAAGAAGGACATCCAGCTTGTTCTTTAACTACAACTGGATAAATAAGAATGTAACTGGGTGAGTGCAGGCCAATGCAGCCGGATGACAGTGGAGGTGATGGAGGAGATTGGGACGATTAGCCATGTCAAAGGCTGCAAACAGGTCAAGAAGTATAAGGAGTAACAGTTTCAAACAAACAATCAGTCACATGGGATATCATTTGTCACAACAGCTGTTTTAGTATTGTGACACTTAATTGATAGGGTTAAAACATGAACATCAGGCAAGATGAGCTGAGATTTGAAGCAACAGCATTTGTAGCAGAAGGAAAATTTGGATACAGGGATGTAGTTTGCAAGGGCAGAGGGGCACAAATTTATATTAATTTGAGAAGAGAGACAATGACACCAGGTTTGAAGGAGAGAAGGAACAGTATCATAGTGGAGACAGAATTGTCACCAGAATGAACTAATATGGAAGCCAGTAAGGGAAATTTAGGTAGTCAGTGTTTCAGCAGGATCAGTGCCTCAGATTATAAATCACAGTATAAATTACAGGATTACTTAAAGAAAAGTAAGTTTAGTGAGCAAACATAAAAAGCTATCTTTATCCTCCTCAACATGTGTACAAGCATGTTCAATTTGGTCCAAGGTATTTGAAGATGCAAACTTAGCTTATACAAAGACATTCTCAAAAGGGCAGCTTGTGTAACAGATTCTCATTGGATCTTTTAGCCTTCAAGGTGTATTTAAATTCAGTTCAAATAGATACAGAGACTCAGATGAAATGTACTTGGGCAGTCTCTATCTAACTTCTCAGGGTGGGACAGTCCATAGCACAGAACTGCTCATAGAACAATAAAATGAGCAGCTTCATTCACAAAGGAAAGCCCCGAGAGTGGAAATGAAAACCACATGAACAAAACGGTAGGATAAGGTTTTGAGACGAAGTCACGTTTTTAAAGAGGACATACAGATGTGCTTAATCAGCGTTGAAAGAATCTGAAAGCAGCAATGACCATACACCAGGAAGTGTTCAATTTTCAAGCCCTGAATTCAAACACTAAAGGTAATGTTCACATACAGTGGGCTAGAACTTCTGCCCTCTGTGCTGAGCAAATCCACGTCTGCAGCACAAATTGGAGGTGTGGGAGCCCATAAATTTGTAGTTACCAGGCCATTCATGACAAACAGCAGTTTTCCCAGGGTACGGAAACATTGCAAGTCATGATCCAATGCTCACATGAAGCCACAAAGGATCACTATTTAAAGTCTGTTGCAAATGCAAATTCTCCCAGACATTGGTATTTTCATCAAGATGGGTGTGTTCCTGATGGCTTTGTGAACCATGCAAGGGAAGTTAATTCACAAATTTTAGCTTGTCTGCTAAAGAATGGGAAGCCTATTTTGTGCATAAGCTGCCCTATAAATTTAACAGTATTAAGATTTCGATTTAAATGAGTCATCTAGATAGATTGCTTTGAGTTTTACATCTTTATAAAAATTGGACAGATGCCAAGGAAAGGAGATGGGAGGAGGATTAGGGAGCTAAACAACTGCATGGTGAGCTAAACAGCAGACAGAGGCATGCTTTCTAACCTGCTAGCCTTGCCATTTGCCTCCCTAAGTTCTTGCCTCCACCCTGCTTCAGGAGGTGGTAGTCACAACTGCAGCTTGTCTGATTCTGGAAACTGATTTTCAGAAGTCAGGAATACAATGTCAGGAAATGGCAGGATTTACACTTTCCAACTGGTCCTGTGTTTCAAAATTTCCATAGTTTTTATTTTTTTAGATACTATCTTACTTGAGAAACAATGTTTCAAACAGCTGCTGAGCAAAACGGTGTAGTAGCAATTTAAGGACAAAGAACAAAGCAAGGTTGAAAGTAGCTTCTGTCAGACACTTTTTAGGAATACTGGGAAATTGCTACATTTCATTTCCTTGCTAATTACTGAGAATAATGATTGGTTGCATGTACATTAATTTCGTTGAAACATTTTTGTATTATTCGGGATATATCCTTGGTAAAGGCAGTTGAAAGGTGACCCGTTTGGGAATTATATTTTAGGTATTTATTGACCAAACAGACAAAAGGCAAACATCTAGAAAATTGAAAACAGACAACTTGTTGTGAAAGAACAGAGACACAAACAGCAGGATTGAGAGAAACAATAGCATCTTGAATCCAAGACAGGACACATGGAACTTAAGGACACAATATTTTTTCCTGATTGACAATAGGAACCAAGATCTTGAAACTTAACATGGCTTGGGATAGTACATTTGGCTCCTTAAAATGTTCAAGTGATAACAAAGGAATGATGGGTTGAAGCAGGATCCAAATACTTTGCTGTAAAAGTATGAGGGGACTCCACCAGCACAGTGATTTTTAAATGTTTTACATGTTGCACTGACAAGTGCAACCAAATCTTCAATATAACAAGGAGAATTTATACGGCAATCATGTGTCTATCCATAGGGTAACTGTAATGCTGTTGTGATTTGGTACTACTGCTCAGAAATTAGCTTCTGTCAAGTCTTATTTGTACTGAATAGAATTTAACCACTTCACCAATGAAGGCAATTACTTCAAAGAGGGGATAAATAATTCATTGATAGACTGAAATCCAAGGCAGGTAGAGAATGTACTCCATTTGAGGAAAATAAAGTATCACTTCAGGCAAACAAGCGTTTACTTTAAAAGCCATCTATTTCCCACTTCTATTAAGACCTAATAAGCTACAAGATCAAAACTTAAAATGCTCATACTAATAATGTCCAGTGGTTAATTTGCTAATTAGGTTCAAAAAGGGGCACTAAAAAATGCATCTAACATGCATAACCTGATGTTACTAAGGACATTTTCAAATAATTTATTATTCTTGACAAAAATCTTAATTAACAGAAAAGGCGGTGTTTAAAAAAGTTGTTTAAATACAAACCTTGTACATACTGTAACCAATGCAATTATAAACTAATTATCTGCTAACATTCAGTAATTTTTATGTGACTTTATAATGGTTATACTAGGTCATAAATGTTTGATACATCTAGAACTTAACAGCTTTCACAAATTGATTATCTTCCTCTAACTTAAAGTAGATTTGATAAACAAAGAGAAATTTTTTAATTGGAAGAAATGCACTCCACACCTTTTGAATTTAAAAAGAAAATTCATTCCTCCCAAAATTTGATCCTATTTTTTGTTTTCTGTAGCACCAGATGATCCAGTAGAAATACTACAGGGTTCATATCACTTCAGCTGCCAAATTGCAAAATTCTTTTGCTCTGAGCAAGTATCTTTTTCATTTTTGGGTGGTAGAAAGGGAAATCAGACATGTGTTGCCACATTATAAAGTGGAAAGACTAATGCAGTGCAAATGTTTTGCCACTAGAATTTTTGCATTGTTGTCAATGGAATGGACCATTTTCAGGAGACAAAAAAGTGCACACACCCGAACAGCTGTAACCTGCAAGGCTACGGACAGGTGCTTGAAAGTTGGATTATAACAGAGGTTAGTTTATTCAGAGCAGACATGGGCTGAATTGTCTCTGTTCCATTATTTTCTATATGGTTTTGTTGATTTTTGGAGATCGTTTTGTTTTACCCAGCCTACAACACAATAGAAAACCTATTCAAACTCTGAGCAATTCTTCAGCATAACGGGATTGCAAACA